TTCCACCTTTTGAACAATGAAATTGTCTTCGAGGCATGTGAGGAATTTCGAGGCCTTGAGGATTTTGCCGAGTTTGACTTCCAGCAAATATCCAGATAGTTGAAGTCACCCATCACTACTATATTTCTCCTTTCTTAGTGTGTGGTCATCTGTTCTAGAAAGGCTTCATCCAATTCTTCTGCTTGAGTTGGGGGTCTGTAGTAGACTCCCACACTAACATCCCTGTTGTTTCCTTCCCCTTTAATTTTTATCCAGATGCTCTCCACTTGGCTTCCAGGATTGATGTCCTGGATTTCTTCACTGGTGTAAATATCCCTGACATATAATGCTATTTCTCCTCCTTTCCTGTTTGTCCTGTTTCTCTTGAAAAGCTTATACCCCTTTATTTCTACATTCCAGTCATGAGACTCATCCCACCAGGTTTCAGTGATGCCTATTATATCATATTTGCTTATAAGGGATTGTTGTTGCTTTTGTTATTATTTCTGCCTCACATCAACATTTGTTTTTGTTACTCAGGTATAACTACTAGTTCCAGGATATAAAGAGAACCTGCAGCATCTTTGAGGCTGGCTGAAAGATATTAACATTGGTTGCATGAGCTTTCATAGACTTGAGCCTACTTCCTCATGTGGTCCACCTGCAATATGTGGTAGCTCATGCTAACAACTTCTATCTTTCAGTTAGGGCCTTTGCAGACTGCCAGAAATAGTGCAAATTGAGTCGACTTTAACTGTCCTGGTTCAGTGCTAGGGAATCATGGGAATTGTATTTTTTCTGAGACATTGAGCCTTCTCTGTCAGAGAGCTCAGGTGCCACAATAAACTATGGTTCCCATGATTCCCTAGCATTGAGTCAGGGCAGTTAAAGTGGACTCAATTTGCACTATTTCTGGCAGTCTGCAAAGGCTCTTAACTTCAAAGGTGCTACAAGATCCCTTTGCATATTGATTTTCCAGACTAACACAGCTATCTATGGGGCTAAGCAGACGGCGCAAAGCGCCATCTTCAGAGCAAGGAAGGGGAGGGGCAGCCACAGGCTGGGCACTCCAACCCTTACACAAAACGTCCTCGGAGCAGCCGGCACTCCGCACGGCCGGCACTCTGAGGATGCCTTTCCGCTGCAGCGCCCGCAGATGCTGCAGTGGAAAAGCCGCCGAAGGTGCACCAGCAGCCTTTTGCGGTGCACCTTCGGCGATTTGTGGAAGGAGCGCTATTTTAGCGCTCCTTCCAGGGGTGGCGAAGCTGCGCCGCGGGGCCGAGGAATGGGGATGCCTTGGCCCAGATCCACAGCTTCCTGGGGTGGCCCCGTGCCGCCCGTCTACTTCCCCCCTATGTTTGAATACTTCCAGAATAGTTTCATTCTAATACTGTAGCACCACAGCCTGTTCCCACATTATATGCTTGTAAGTAAAGATCTACAGCTGGGTAGAAAACATGGGGCCCTATAAACTGCTTAGACTGCAACTCCCAGCAATCCTAGCAAGCACAGCCAATGTTAAGGAAAGTTGAGAGTTATAGTTCAACAAGTGGTAAGGTGGACAAAAGAGAAAGTGTTTTGTACCACAGGTCCATAGCTTCTAGGTTTCAGATTTTCCCCCATAAAAACTTAGTAAAAAGTATTTGAAAAACAGTTGCCTTTGAAAGATTTTAATTTTCATGGAAACTAAACACATCCACATTATTCCCATCCCTGATCTAAAGAGATGGGTTTTTGGAGAGGGGCCAGCACCAATGCATGAGATTATAAGAATGTTAGCTTCCCAGTGTGTATAAAGAAAATATAACCATCATTCCCAAATTATAAAAATAGACACAGACCTGTATAAGAGTATGAGCCTCCAAGTACAAATATCTAAAACACTCACCTGTGCAACATTACATGGAGGGCCTGCCTCCTCTGACTTCCCAATGGGCCATGACCACAGTATCAGAAAACCCCACCCCTAGTCTCATTATTTGCCCCTGAAAATTCATTGCTGATCGCTTGGCAATACAGTTGGCCCTCTGTATCCGTGGATTATTCACAGATTCAACGATCCGCAGCTTGAAAATATTCCAAAAATATATAAATTCCAAGAAGCAAACTCTGATTTTGCCATTTTACATAAGGGAATCCATTTTGCTATGCCATTGTATATATTGGAACTTGAGCATCCATGGATTGTGGTATCCATGGGGGATCCTGGAACCAAACCTATAAGATACCAAGAGCCCACTGTACCATCAGCTGTACTTCACCCATGGAAAACCAGATTCAAACAAGGATTGTGGCCTGGATGTTTTTCATTTTCAGTAAATATCTCTTATCTATCAAATGTCTTCACAAAAGAGCATGTTTGCTAAACTCCACTCACTCCAGTTAAATACAGTAATGGCTGTTTTTCAGTTTTGCTTTCACTGTTTTAAGGTTTTTTTTTATTATATATATATATATATATATATATATATATATATATATATATATGATTTCACATCTTGAATTACCCTTTTGCAAGCCACCTTAGAAGGACTGCTGTCAATGAGGCATGTTTGCATTCTATGAAGGTCTTTGCTCTGAAGCAAAAAAAAAAAAAAAAAAATCTGAACATGTTCAGTTTGAAGATTGAGGGGTGACATGACTATGCTCTTTGAATATTTCAGGCTTCTTCTCTGCTGCCTCAGAAGACAGAATTAGGTCTAATGGTTTTAAGTAACAGGAGGGTAAATTTCGATTGAATAATAATAATAATAATAATAATAATAATAATAATAATAATAATAATTTATTTATTTATTTATATCCCACCCGTCTGCCAAGCAATTGGGGCAGCTTACATTAAAACTGTCATACAAATATAACACACATCCAAAAAAACCCCAAAACCCACCCACCCCTTAAGAAAGTATTAAAAAAATATACATTAAAACATAACAATACAATAAAACAAATTTAAAGTAATCTTGCCGAAGCGACAATAAAAGGACAGTAGCAGCAGCTACAGCAGAGTTGGAGAAGAGAAAATAGGCTGACTCCTGACGCCGGGAAATCTAGTCAGAGAAGGCCTGCCAGAAGAGATCTGTCTTAACAGCTTTTTTAAAGCCGCTCAAGGTCGTAATCTAACGGATCTTGTCCAGCAGGCAATTCCATAATCTGGGAGCGGTCGCCGAGAAGGCCCTCTGGGAGGTTGCAGACAGCCTCGTTTTTATTGGCTGCAGCAAATTCCTCCCAGAGGACCGGAGTGCATAGGGTGAATTGTATGGGAAGAGGCGGTCCCAAAGACAGGATGGAACCAAGCCATTTAGGGCTTTAAAGGTAATAACCAACACCTTATACTGGGCCCGGAAACTAATAGGCAGCCACTCAAGAGACTTCAGTACAGGTGTTATGTGGTCTCTCTTTGATGTACCCAAGACCAACCTGGCTGCCATGTTATGTACTGATTAAAGTTTCCAGACCAAGCATGAGGGTAGCCCCATGTAGAGCGCATTACAGAAATCAAGGCGAGAGGTTACCAGCACATGTACCACAGTTTCACAGTCCCTTACTTCCAGGAAAGGGTGCAGCTATAACAGCTGAAGCTGGTAACAGGCGCTCCTGACCGTCACATTTACCTCATTTGTCATCTGGAGCAAAAGATCCAGGAGCACCCCCAGACTGCGAAAACAGTCCTTCACGGAGAGTTTGACCCCGTCCAGGGCTGGTGGTTGTAACCCAATACCTGGTTTCGGGGCTGCTACTGTGAATACTTCCATTTTGTCTGGATTCAGTCTCAATCTGTTTTTCCTCATCCAGTCCATTACTCCCTTAAGACAGACATTGAGGGGAGAGATGCCATCTGAAGGCAAAGCTGATGACTGAGACATGGAGAAATATATCTGGGTGTCATCAGTATACAGATAACACCCCAGCCCATGTCTCCTAATGGTCTCTCCAAGCGGCTTCATATATATATTAAACAGCATCAGGGACAGGATGGCGCTTTGAGGGATACCACAATTAAGCTCTTTTTTTGTGGAGCAACTGTCCCCGAGCAACACTCCTCTGGAATCTGCCAGAGAGGAAGGAACGGAACCACTGCAACGCAGTGCCTCCAATTTCTAACTTACTCAGGTGATCCAAGAGGATGTTATAG